TGCAAGGAGCAGTCCTTGCTCACTTGCAAGGAGCAGTCCTTGTTTGCAGCAACACGTCAGGCGGCGAGAAGCTTCCGTTACTAGTAATAGAATAGTCAAAGCATTCAAGATGTTTAAAGGCGGCAGTGGCTATGCTTGTTCTCTATGAAGCTAACAAGAAGACTGTGGGTAATGCAGCAGTTATTTGAAGCGTACGTGCGCAAGCTGGACAGAAGATTCGAGCAGCGAAATCGAGGAGTTCTGCTGTTTGTAAATAACTGCACTGCACATGGCCACATCAAGGACCTAAAGGCGATACAGATTCCATTTCGGTCGCAAACACCACAGCAATCCAGCAGCCGATGAACCAAGGCATGATTCGAAACTTGCATCATTACAAATCACACGTGTGCTTAGCCGCATGGTGCTCTGATCCGACAACGGGAAAAGCTACACTGTTGACCTCAGGTCTGTCGTCGGCATGCTAGCGAAATCGTGGAAGGCGGTTATGCAAGAGACTTTGCGGGACTGTTTTCCCCACACGGGCTTCACACTCGATGCTGAGACGGCTGTCTCACCCCAAGTGGACAGCGTGTGTGACGAACTGCCATCTTCGGACGTTGCCTTCGACAATCTGCGCTCTGCCGGCGTGTCGATTCCAGCCGAGATAACCTTTGAGAGCTTCGCCGACGCTGACAAAGACCTTGAGCTATGTGCGGACTTCACCGATGGCGAAATCATTCGTTAAGTTACGGAGGATTCCAACGACTCCGACACCGAGAACGAAGAGCCATCTCTTACACAGCCAACGAGCTCGCGGCTGACGCGAGCACTGATGACACTGTCATCATTGTACAGCGGCAAAATGATGTTGACTGAAATTGAGGCAGACATGATCGCGGGCAAGTGGAACGCCGTGCCAAAAAAAATTGGCAACTTCTTTGCACCCAAGCGCTGAGGTATGAGGTAGCACTGGCCAAGTCAGGTTTTTTCATTTTTTTTATAAACGACTTTTTCCAAGCCACCTAAACAATGCATTGGCTGAGTTCCAATGAAAATCTTGTACTCCAGCCATTACCTTCTCCGTGGGCGAAAAATACTTACAAAAAAAATTGGCCCCATATCTGCATTTAATCTGCAAATGTCGTCGAAAGTCCTGAGTGTGGAGAGAGTTAACAAAACATTTATTTGATGTTCTGCACAAGAAAATCGGTGAATGGTATTCTGGAGGCGCTGCGTTAGAGTGCTTCAAGCGTGCAGGGGAGGCAAACGAGCGCATCAAGTCACGTCACGCGTGAGACATGAGCGCCATCAGACAGTCTTCTGCGAAAACAAAGTGTGTGGCTCTGAGATGGGTGTGCGCGCCCGTCTCAGCAGTGATAAGGTGTAGAACTCAAGACGACAGGTAGGTGCCACCACCGTTTCGTTTTAGCAAAGTGTTGGAAACATGCATGGTCGGCGCAGCGTGATAAGCACTACGGTCCTTAAAATTACTTATGTATGCCTTTTCTAATAAAAGGCGCACATGCAGAATATATTCGCGTTGTTATGATGCCCCAGACATGCGCGATAATTGCTTTTTAATCGACAATTGCACAAGTATTAACGCTGAATCTTGAGCAATTGGTGGGCGCTGCAGATGGGGTCGACCGTTTCAAGTACCCGACGCTGTTAGGAGTGGACAAACAGACAAATGTACAGACAGACAGACAGGCAGACATACAGACAGACAGACCAAAATTTTTGCATCGAATGTCCCCAAGAAAGACTATTGACTTTAAAAGATGCGCTTTCACGCGCATTTGCTTTTTCCGAACTGCTCCATTTTCGGGACGTTTTCGCGGTCCCTTGAGGGTCCGGGCAATCGGACATCGACTGTATTCACTCTCGTTCACACAAGCTCATCAGCTTTCACGCACGTTCATACTCACTCTCACAAGCACTCACATTCATACTCATGCTTACTCGCACTCATAGTCACTCACTCACATTCGTACTCACGCCTACTCACACTCGCAGGCATTCACTTACATTCATACTCACGCCTACTCACACACATAAGCACTGATTCACATTCACACCTACTCACACACATAGGCACTTGCTCACTTTCATATGCAGACCAACTCACACTCATAAGCCCTCACGTTAATAATCATGTCAACTCACATTCATGGGCACTCTTGTTCGTACTCAGGCCTACTCATCCTGATGAGTGCTCACTCATGTCCACTCACACTCATAAGAACTCACATACTCACTCACGACTACTCAAACACATAAGCACTTACTCATGTTTATCACCAGTGTACTTAAATCTAAGTGATTATTATAGCAGTCTAGGTGGTCACAATTCATTCAGGTTCCCACACTATCAGTTTGAGCTCGAAAGACCCCAATATTAAAGTTTTCTTTTCAATTTTCTCCGCTGTTCTCACCGGTCCAGTCACCAAAATAAATACGAGTACTTGGGGCGTTTTTCAACTACACAGCAATACTCGTTATCTTGCTTGCTTCCGTTGCCTTTCTCGAGGACCAGGCTCGCCATTTTCTGATCAAGAATGCTGTGTTGCGTTGATAGCTGCACGGTGTGATTGAGGTGTACTGGGCACGTAGCGATAACGTGAGGTAAGCATGCAAGAAAGATGATTACTGATGTGTGATAGACGCTCCAAATACTCCTTTTGTTGACGGGGGCACAACTGCCGGCGGCGAGGGCACTATTTTGCCACATTGCGGCCCCTTTCGGTGCACTGGCTGCAGATGGCAGTAAACTGACGTTGGCAAACGAGCGAGATTGCAGCAACGATGTTGACTGCAGGAGGCGTTGCGGCGCGAGTGCGATGCGCGTGCTACAAATTTTCAAAGGCGCTGTCAGGAACGCAGCGGAGCTATTTTAATCCATCTGTCACCTTACGTGCACTGCCATTAGCAACAGAGAACTATATGTGATGACGCCATTGTAACATTACCGAAAGTGCATGGCTTTTTCTATGTTTGCCATTGCGCGAAAAAACACTTCAACTAATTCGCATGACCATATTCGTATGACCATACATGCTGAAGTAGCGACATAGCTGACGGAAGCCTCGTCAGGCTTCGACATGTGTGCGTATGTTTCTACAGGAATCCATTAGCGAAAACTGGCGTGGCTATACACGAAACGCGTTACCATCATACGTCAAGCTGTGCGCGCCCTAAGCTAGTTGTGTGCAGTGCATCGCCTACTCAGCTCACTCCATCAGCGCCAGGCCCTGTAACGTATACGCGTGTATTTGCTTTTGCACAGAGATTTTTTTTCTTCATACTTGCTCAGCACTGGACCGAGCAAACATAGAGTTTCCTAATATACACTAGAGGGAACCCTGGCGCTAGTGTCTATGGGAGCTGCAGCGCACAGCGCTTCAGTGAGAATGGGAATGATGGGTAGTACACACATTTGTCTAAACTTCGTACTTCTGGCCTGCTTTTGACTCCGTGTGTGTTCCTGTGGCTTGAAGCTGTTTTCTCAGGAAACAAAAATCAGCAATGTTCAGCATTTGCGCTTCACCGCCCTATTTTTTTCTAATTACCTTTCCAAATTGGATCATGAAGTTCAAAAAGATTGAATCATTCTTTCAAAACAAAATCGAAACACAGCAATAAACGAAGCCGCAAGCACGATTCGCCGCCCGCAAGTACGAAGATTAGGCAAATGTGTGTACTACCCATCATTCCCATGGTCGCTGAACGATCGCAGCGCCAGAGTGCCCTCTAGTTAATTTTGACAAACTCTATGCAAGCAAAGGTGTGAGGACTATTTCGTCGAGCGAATGCCGCGGCGGCGAGTTGCCTTCGTTTTTGCGAGCGATCGCCCCCATAAGGGCAAGGCAGCGGACTGCTCTGCACGCAGTACATGATTTCGATTTATTGAGATGTTTATCATCAGTAGGTTTGTCACGATGATTTGCCGCCACATTCGTTCGTAGCTGTCATCACGCTCCCATGAATTTCCATGTAGGCATCACCGCACTTGTGCCGAACTCATACAATCACTGTGTGATCTACTGAGGCTCTTATGGCAAATGCACAAAATCCTAACTTCTTCACAATGACATATGCAAACAGATATTCGTAAACATCGAATATTCGGGGAATATTCTACTTAGTTCAAATATTCAAATTTTTGAATATGTGGTTATCAAATTGAATACAAATGTTACAACTGCAATACTCGTCGAATATTCGAAACTTTCGAATATTCGCACACCCCTACTAATTACATATTTTAAATCTACAAAAACATCAATACATTGAGCAAAAAGTTCATTGCCTTAGGTCACAGATTAATACAACTTTTTTTCCTAGTAGCATATCCCCTTAAACCGCATACATTGCCATGGCAATGTATGCGGCTGTTGCTGTTACGTATGCGGATTGCATACGTGACAGCAACGCATCGGAGAGGGAGCATAATCTAGCAGCGCTTGCCTACGGGCAATGACTCGTTATTGTGTTTGGCAATAGATGAAGCCGAAAGCAAACGCGTTTTTGTCAATTGTCGATCTTTGAGATGATTAAGGTGAGGGGTGTGGTCTTACGATACTATATTGCTAAGCTGACGCTGCACTCCGTGCCTTCACAATTTTTTTTTATCAAGCTCCAGTTTCTTAATTTCAATATCAATGTTGTATTGAGAGATAATTATGTGTGAAAATCATTACTATTGTTTAGAAATTACTTCGTTTGTAGCACAGAGGCATGAAAAATAGGGCAATGTGGCCAAGTGGATGGAGCTTACATTTATTCTTAGGCTGTCATCAATTATAGAGAGCATATTTAAAGTTATTAAAATAGGTCAATTCCATCAATTTCACAAAAGCTTCGAGGTATTGGCAGGTGTCTCTATGAAATAAAGTTTTTCCTGGTTTGGCACTGTGCTTTAAAAAGTGTTTTGGAAAGAGTAGAGTTGGAAAGTGTTCAAAATTTCCTGCACCATCCTCCAAGCGGTATTGCTAAGAAGACAAAAAAAGCGGCCAAACCTTGCAAGCAAGTGGTGCCACCAAGATCCAGTCGGAAAGGCCATCCAGAACAAGCTTGAGCAGGGCCGCAGCGGCAGGCACGCTGTCAGTTGAGTGGGCCTCCGCCGCATGCTTAAGCAGCAAGTGCATCAGCAGACAGCCAAGATCAGGTGCTGTGCATCAATATAAACGGAGCTATCAGATCAATGACATAACTCCCAGCACCAATTAGACACTCTTGCTGTACTTCCAACATTGTTTCAATGAAATCCATCTCAATCATCTCAAAGAAATAGCACGCCTCGTGATGCTACTGGCTTAGTTGTTTTGGAGCAGGTTTTGGAGCAGGCAGAAATGCATTTTAGAGCACCAAACTGGCTTTTAGAGCATGTGTCGCCAGAAGAAGTTTTAAAACACCTACTATGTCCGTAACAGACGACTGATAGACGCATGATTGACTGCACGCTATTCAAGCATAATAAAAATATAAAAATCAGAGAATTATAAATATCACGCATGGCTAACCTGACCTATTAGAGAAAGCCAGTGGGAAAATATGGAACCATAGCACCTTGTTATAAAATGATTAAAAGTCACATGGTCATCGCAGATTAGCTTGCAAATGACTTCGTGCTACAAACAGGGTGGTTGCCTTTTTTTCTCTTTCTTAACAGATTAGCTAGTATATATTTAAACAAGAAATATCGCAAAAACATCTGTGAAGTGCAGATTAGATAGAATATATTTGAACAAGAAATATCGCAGAAACATTTGTGATGGCACCTCTGTATTTCTTCAACAGCGATAGAAAAAAACACATGTGGCTTGGTAAATGAAAAATTGATCTGCTGCACAAACTTGAAGGAAAACAAGGGAGACAGGAAAGAGTGCAGACTACGAACTGTTTATTGTCTAAGCACTATTTTAAGTGTTTTTTATGCAAAAGCCTTTAGAGCACGTTTTCATATTTTCACGCCTTTGTTGATGCTTGGTCAACAATTAATAAAAGACACGTTTTAGATTGAATAAGAGCGCACACCTTGGGAATACGCAGTTTAGATTGTGGTGAGTATCACTTTTGTATTTTGCCATTTTTCGCTTTTGTCATTGTGGTGACAGTCACTTTTGAATTGATTTGTTTTGGGACGGCTTTGTTTGCGGCATCTTTGGTTTTGTGCGCATTGTGGAAGCGCAGCGTAGCATGCGTATGTATTGGCTTAAGAAACGACAATAAACAGTTGGTAGCCTGCGCTCTTTCCTGTCTCCCTTGTTTTCCTTCAAGTTTGTGCAGCAGATAAATTTTTCCAGTATGAACCAACAAGTCTGCAAAAAAGTATTGCTTGGCTTGGTAAAGAGACACTAAAGAGAAACAATGAAATGGATTAGATTGACCAACTACACTCTGAGTACACTATAGCCATATGTTTCACTATATCATAAGTTCATTATTAGCAGGAAAAATCAAGGTTGAAGCTTCAGGTAAAGTTTTGACCCATGCTTTAAAATTCAGATGCTTTTGTGGCACAGTCACAAGCGTCATACATGGCAATGAGAAAAAAAGTGTAAAATTTCGTGTTTTTCGGACTGTGGCAGTCACATCCCAGTCTGAAATAGCATTACTTAAAACCTGACGCCTGCTACGTCTCACTTTCACAGGCTTGAATCGGCACATTTCTGCTACTACAGCAATGTCCGAAAGTTGTTTTTGCTGCAATGTTTAAGTGGTATGGGGAGAAGCAGGCTTAAAAAAATCATAAGGGGCTACTATCACAGCGCAGTGCAGCGATGTCTTTACTGATAAACACCAAATTAGCACAAAGACGAGATGACCACAATGCGGAAAACATACTAGTACCATTTAATAGCTAACAACTGTTTATGATAAGCATTTTCAGCTAACTGCTCGATAGTGCATGTGGCCTGGGAGAGTCGTAAGCGTACAGTACGCTCTTAATGAGCGGGAACCCAAAAGCGCCGCACCGCAGTTCACGCTGCCTCCTTGTGAAACATCGCTTCACCAACGAAAGCGGGTCATCATTGCTGTGCCCGTGTGCTGTTAGCAATGGAGTGGGCATCAAGAACACTTTTATGACAAAAGCAAGCATACGACACAGCACGCATCCCCACAGCAACGGCTGCAACTGAATTTGAAATGTGCAGCCCACAACTGGATACGACCGGCTTCAAGCAGAAGCAAATTCTGCTTGTCGATGGAGATTTCGCATCGTTCACTGGCACACGCATCAGGTAAGTTCGAACAATTCAAACAAGTTGCCTGCTTTTCTGTCTTTGTAGGTCAAATCATCGTTTCCAAACAGTTCATGTGCAATAGCCATAATTTTTAACCCACGCTTTGCCAGTATCGCAAGATACAAATTTGAACAAGGAGGTTGACAAGTGGTTAAGGGGTTCGCTGCAAGTTCAAAATGCATTAATGAGAGCCTGGCCGTGCACCAAAATGCTAGATAGGTCCAGCGGAAGACGCTGAAACTATTTGGTCATGGCAGCGATGATATGAGCGTTTGCGCCTGATAAAAACAACATGAATAATCTTTTCAGATGATTTCATAGTCCCTCGGTAGTCCGTGAAATCGGACATTGACCGCACAGACAAATCCCGCAATAACGAAGTCAGCCGCAAAAAAATGTTTCCTACAACGAATATTTTCTATTTCCGGTCAGCCTATAGAAAACTATATGAAAAATGCCTTGCTCACAACAAATATTCTTCCTGAATATTTTTACTTCAATGAAGCCTTTACGAGTACAATCCCATAAGGAAAGGAAACTTGCCTAGGATTGCCATGAAATTCCACTACAAACTCGGCCATTTCTCGGCGGCTCGCAACATCCAGAGGCCACAACGCAACAACCGTGTTTTTATCGAAGACACATTTTCTGCCATCACACACACACACACACACATTCCGCTAAATTTATTGCCATTAGGGAGTTTTAGTGCTGGGTACCCAAGCGGCTTGCGTACGCAGGACGTTGGGGCAGCAGTATTGCGCATGCGCGAAACCCCAAACAGATGCGTCGCAAGATCGCTGGGGCGATGGGGCCATGCGTCCGCGCGGTCCACCTTCGCAAGAACTCACGGTATCTGCACTGCGGATACTCTAGCGGTCGAGTTAAAAGAAGCCAAAGTGCGAGCACTTATAGCGATTACACGGTTTCAGCCAGGTTTCCAAAGCTAGAATGACCTGGATCATAGAAACTAAAAGGCATATGCCAGCCCCCGACCAGCTGAATAGGTGGCGCCAACAAGCACGGCCATAGTGAAACAGACAACCACAACTTTGTTATTGCAGAAACATTGTGCATTGTACATCTGGTGCAAAAACTGCGCTGCGACAATATTACAAATGAGTAACCATTTTATTCATTTTCACCTCAAAAACATTACGCGTAAGCTAACATGTTCATGACTGCGGTAGCACGAAGTGTCACAAGATGTCGACAGTGTTGTTACAGTAAACTTGTATTTTTCACTTTTTTACGTATACCAGATTACTGTACACAATAAAAAAAAAAGTGTCCTGATCGCTATTTATGTTTAATTTAACATTTTAAATCATAAGAAGACTTAAATAACACTTACGCGACAAGACGCCATGGCTCTGCGAGCGCGTGTGAACTTCGTGCGGCTTGCGTTTGCGTGCGTGCCACCGTGGCCCCAACTAAAAGGCATTCCGGTTGGGTATGGGTTGGGCACGCAACGCCGTGCGCTCCCAAGCCCGCATCGCCCCAAGAGATTGCGTACCCAGCACTAAAGCTCCCTATTGAGGTGCTCGGTGACAGCTCGCCCATTCACCATGATGCTGCCAGTGGGTTTGATGCACATGCGGGCCACGGCTGAATCTCGATCTTCAAGAACTCCCGCCATATGTTTTTAATGTCGCACTCAAGACAAAACAACCGCTCGTCGTCACTAGTGCTGCGATCGTGAAAGATAACCAGAGCGTCATGAAGGCGCACACATGAGCAGCCAGACCTATTTCAGCGTAACTGCATTCTGCGGCATGACTACTGCGACGTCGTTAAGTGAAGAATGTTACATTTGCATTTTCGCTTTGTTGTTTGATGTTTTTCTGTTGGTTGTGATTAATCTATGGAAAACTACTTGGATTTTCGATTGCCTCACGGTACTCATTTACATTTACACATATTCTGTACATTTTGATAGTTTATATTATAGAAACAATGGTTTCAATTGTCACATTACTTTCTTTTCTCTTGTTTCTTTCTTGTGTATTTAACGCGATGGTTTGATTTTTAGCAACAGTATTTGAATTGATTTTTTTTACATTATTTGTGATATTTACTTTCAGGTGTGTAACGAGAATTCTTGGTTTTGTAAATAGTATTTGCACATGCTTGTGTTCTCGACTGTATGCCTTGTACATGAGCACTCCGGCTTTCTTCAAGCAAATTGTTTCGCTTTCAACCCAAGCTTGCTCACATTTTTCATGATGTGAATCAACTTTAATTTTATTTGATGATGACATTGTAGCAAGTAACCATACATTGCAAGAAGCTGCCACCGAAGCATCTAAACGAACCATCCGCAACAAGAATAACAACAAAATACGGCCGCCACCTCGCTGTCTACTGGAGAAGTTACAGTAAAGAGGGTAGCCTATATCTTGCGTTCTTTGAATTACGCACGGATAACAAGCACGAAGAGCTAATTGCAACCAAAGCGAGAATCGGAGGGGGGGGGGGGGGGGGGAGGGGGTCCTACTATGTTACGGAAATTATCGCTATAGGCGACAAGGAATTTTTTTTCGTGGTTTCCCGAAAACCTGCGACGGCGATTGCGACAAACAGCTAATTCTGTCATGGTCGCTCAAAAATTGCATGCATATGGTTAGGCCATAAAGTTTCGTATTTTCAAAAAGCGAACAGCGGTTGGCACAGACAGTTTCATGGCCTTCGCCAGCTGTGTGCTTGTCAGCTGCGATGTCTATATACTCGCATTGTTCGTGAACCCCGCTGTAGCGCATAGATAATTAAAAACAAATGAAGACGTGCCGCGCACAGATTAAAAAGAACAACAACATGGCATGCGGAAGCGAGCGAAGGGGGTGAGGAGCAAGCCAAGGTGGCTGAGGGGGTCGGCATAATAACAAAAAACGAAAAAGATTCAACAAGTAAGGAGGCGCCAGAT